TAGGCTAAATAATTAACTATTGTGTTATGACAGTAGGATTTGATTTAATTGTTAGTACGTAGTAATTCCCGATAGGGATAGCTAGCACAATCGAGCATTGAACGCCGAAACTATCAAGGATCGTTTTCCAACCCCAACGGTGGACGAGATGTTGTACGAATTGCACGACGCCACCTACTTCACGAAGCTCGATTTACGGGCAGGACATCATCAAGTACGAATGGAGGATGAGGATGTCTCGAAAATGACATTTCGTCATGCCTTTTGGTCTGTGTAATGCTCCATCAACATTCCAAGCCATCATGCACGAGATTTTTTGTCCTATCCTCCGCAAGTTTGTCTTGGTTTTCTTCGACGACATCTTGATGTACAGTCCTGAAAAACCGAGCCATCTTGATCACGTCTGCCAGGTCCTCTCTATTCTTCAACACCATCAATTATATATTAAGTTCTCTAAGTGCGCTTTTGGGTTACAAGAAATTGAGTACCTTGGGCACATCATCACCACCCATGAAGGTCGACCCAAACAAAGTCCAAGCAATGGTGGACTGGCCGACTCCAACCACCATCACCGAGCTACGGGGCTTCCTCGACCTCACCGAATATTATCAGAAATTCGACCAAGGCTATGGCTCCCTTGCTCGGCCTTTGACCAACTTACTGAAGAAGGGGCAGTTTGAATGGACTTCAGTAGAAACCGAGGCTTTCCACAACTTGAAGATAGCCATGGCGTTGACACCAATCTTGGCCATGCCAAACTTCAATGCCCCGTTTTTCATTGAAATAGATGCATCAGAAACGGGTATCGGGACTATTTTGATGCAAGATGATTGGCACATCGCTTACATGAGTTGGGCCTTGGGGAAATCCAAACAATATCTGTCCAAGTATGCCAAGGAGATGTTGGCAGTCGTAACGACAGTCAAAACATGGCGGCCCTATATATTGGGCCGCAAGTTCGTCATCCAGACCGACCAGAAAAGTCTCAAATATCTTCTGGATCAACGCATCACCACTCCGGAGCAGCAGAAATGGGTTGCGAAATTGATGGGCTTTGACTACGAGATCGTTTACAAACCGGTCAAGGAAAATCTTGTTGTTGATTCTCTCAGCCGTCAACCAACAGAAGCAATCGTCCTTGTAGTCTCCATTCCACATAAAACTCTGTGGGAATCCCTTTACCAAACTTCTCTCACCAACCCCTATATGTAGCGACTTATAGCAAGAGCGAAATCTTCTTCCCCTGGTCATTATACCATCTGCAACAACATGGTTCTTTACCTAAACAGGATCTTCGTCCCTCCTCAAACACCCCACATTCGCCAGCTCACGGAGGAGTTTCATTGCATTCCCATGCGCGGCCATTCTGGGATCGAGCTCACCTACCACCGTCTCGCGTCACTCTTCTTTTGGACCTGGATGATGGACGATTTCAAGAGCTTTTTCAACTCTTTCGATATCTGCCAATGAGCTAAGGCCCAATCTCTATCTCTTGCCGGCCTCCTTCAGCCCCTACTGATCCCGACGAAAGTATGGGAAGACATCTCCCTTGACTTCATTGACGGGCTACCTAGCTCCCGAGGGAAAAAAAGGTCTTAGTCTTCGTCGATGGGCCAACCAAGTACAGTCACTTCTTACCTCTCTCCCACCCGTACTCTGCACGCACACTATAGCTTTGTCGCAGGGATCATACATTTTCACGGCCTGCTCCGCTCCATTGTAAGTGACCGTGACTGGGTATTCATGAGCCATTTTTGGCAAGAACTTCACCTCTAGTCCGGCACATCCTCTTCTTACCATCCTCAAACCGATGGTCAAACCGAGGTGGTCAATCGCTGCTTGGAACAATATCTTAGGTGTTTCACTCATCAACAACCACGGAAATGGCTCGCTTCTCTTCCTTGGGCAGAATATTGGTACAACACCAGCTTTTACAGCTCCGCAGACATGACTCCTTTCGAAGCCTTCTACGGCCGTCGACCTTCCATCATTCCTAACTATCGACTGAGAACTACATCCATACATGAAGCTGACTACGCCCTGGTCGACCGCAATGACCTCCTCAACAAGTTGAAATCCAACCTCGTTGTTGCCCAGAAGCGCATGAAACAAAATGCTAACCTCCGCCGCCGTGAAGTGCAGTACGCTGCTGGCGATTGGGTCTACTTGAAGCTCCAACCCTATCGCCAACATACGGTGTTTCGCCGCGCCTATCAGAAGCTGGTCTGTCGCTACTTCGGTCCTTACATGATAACATAATGCATTGGGCCGGTGTCCTATCGTCTAGCTTTATCAGCCGACTGTTGCGTCCATCCCGTCTTCCATGTCTCGTTGCTATGTCGCTACCTGTTGGCCAACCCTGCTGCTGCCACTGAGGTCCCTCCTATTGGGGATGAATGTGATCTTCTTCTCCAGCCTGAATGTATTTTAGAGACCCGCTAGGTCAAACGCAACTCTCGCCTGTGCGAGGAGTTGCTCGTTAAGTGGAAAGGCCTGGCCGCCGAAGATGCCACATGGGAATCCACCACTGTCTTCCTCGAGCGTTTCGTTCAGCTAGGCATTATGGAGTATGGACCATGCCAATTCTTCTAGGGTGGTAATGATGGGCCGCCACGCCATGATGGACCTCCACGTCATTCAACCCGGGTACCACCACCCATCTCCTGCGACTATGAGTAGACCAAGCTAGAGAAACAGTAAGCTTGCCGTTATAGGAGTAGTGCTTTAGTATTGAAAGAATCAAGTTGTACCCACCTTATTAGGGGTATCAGTAGTTGGTTGTTTAGGTTGTTGTTTAGGGTAGACATGGGAAAGTATTTCCTACAAGTTAGGATTTCATTGTTTTCAAACGCTGGGTATTTAAGTTGATCAGGAATGAATAACATGCAAGCATTATTGAGTCAAAAGAAACCTTGATTGTTCTAACCAATAAAGTGGAACGCTGGCTTCTTCCTGCCAAGGAAAGGGAGAACTCGATCGATACAATGTCAGCCCGTTCTCCAACAGCGGCACTTTCTTGATGATGAACAACTGCTCTTCCCCAACAACGATACCTTCTTGCTGGGCAAGTTCCTCTCCTTCCGCTCGTTCTTCTCTTGCTTCCAGTATATGGAGGCGGTAGCGGCAGGGGAATCTCTAGCGGCGTTAGTCCCCAGGCTCATCGCCCTATCCCCAGATCCCATCATCGTCTTCTCCCCCGGGGGCAAACCCTTTTCCTTCGGCAACCCCACCGTCGATCCCATCGTCAACCGGTTCTTAAATCAGGATCATGATGAGCAGAGGTGGCAGTTGAGAGATTCCCTGCACTAAAGAGAGAGGCTAGACTCCAATTCGACTTGATAAGCCTGAACCCACCAAAAGTGCATAAACGAAACCCCCAAATTGAATTAGTACACAATACAGAATAAATTACACACCCACTCAGCCGCTCTGAAGTTAGTTGCGATATCTTCACCTTATCGTCATCTTCACCTTATCGTCATCGTCGCCGACCTCTACCCCACCAGCCTTTCTGAAGCTATCCTTAATCCTGAGATCTATCGAGGAGATGGGAATCGAGGAGCTTGTCGAGATGAGGAGGAGGCCGAGGAATCTCAGGGAACAATTGTACGAGCGACCATTGGAGATGGAGGCATCTTCAATTTCATTCTCTCCCGACAATCCTTCGAATTCGGATTTATAAATCAAGAAAACAAAGTGCCAAATCCTTCTCTGGTTTGCTTCACCCCAGCAATAGCCACGATCGCAGTCGCCCGGATCTTTCCGATTTCATCCTCTGCCTAATCGGCCTCGCTTCCGCCGCCCAATCGGTCGTTCGAATGCCCAGCGACTGAACAACCGACGAGATGGGTTGTTTCTGGAGTTTATCAGTGGAGACGAATAACGCAGGACTGTGGTCGACGTCGGAGGGATGCCTGGGGTACCGAGTGGATTATTTCACTGGAGTCGAGTATAACTGGTTTTTTGACGTCTACGAGAAGGATGACTAGAGGATTTTGCCAATTACTTTTTCTTTTTCGATATTTTAAATGTAAATTATAGATATTAGGAAAAAATATTTAATTTTGGATTAATTTCGAATTTTTTAATATTTTGTATGTTGACATGGCATATTGACCGTCCAAATTAACGGTCAAAACAAGCATCCGGCCAATTAAGTATATAAGGTGCATAGTTGAGACTAGAATGTTAATTTATGAAACAATGGGCCAACGTTGATTATATGGTTATAATTCGGGTCAGAATAAGGTATTAACTCAAAAAAAAAAAAAAAATACTTATAAAGTCATTGATAGGAAAAACGTTAGAGTTGATGGACCAACAATGATTAACGCATAAATATTAGATTAAATACAATTTATTAGCTATACCTTTCAACTTTAACAATACATTAGATAATTTTCCAAAATATCAAATTTTAACCAATAGTTAATTTTAGGGTCAATATATTTGTATGACCCGAACTTTTCACAAATTCAATATTCTAGCTAATTTTTTCCATCTATAAAATCGTGGGCTAAACTATGCATCAAAGTTACGAAATTGACCAAACCCGAAATTTAACCGTTATCTTAGACGGTCAAACGCGTTGACTAACGGCCAACGCACCACGTCACTGGAAGTCAGCACAGACCACTTAAATTTTTTGGTTTTTTTCACCTATTATCATTTATTTTTTTCAAAATAAAAACAAACATTCCTTTTTTTCTTCTTTTGTTCAAAATGAAAAAGATAAATGATAATAAGTGAAAATAACCAAATTTTTTAAGTGGTTTGTTCTGATTTGGCAGTGACGGCGTGTTGACCGTTAGCCAACCGGTTAATCGTTTAAGATAACGATCAAATTTCGGGTTTGACTAATTTCATAACTTTAATACATAATTGAGACCATGATGTTATAGATCGAAAAGATTAATTTTTGAAAAGATTGGATCATACAAATATATTAACCAAAAGAAATAGAAAAGAAGTTTTGAAGTTCGCGGCTGGCTTCTGTTTTCCTTACCTTCCCCGCCGCGGTGGAGTTTGTTTCGGTTTCTTTGGCAGATGAATGTAGGCAATGTTGAAGTTGTCTACCAGGCCTTCAATCCGTCTTCTGATACAATCCTGCAAAACCCTTTGCCATCTTCAGCAGTTCCACGCTCACATTATTTGCAGAGGCCTCGAGCAAGACCATTGGACCATCTCCAATATACTGAAGCTATTAACGTCACTGTCGGCCTCTCTTTCGTACTCGACCTCGGTTTTCAACAGAGTGATCGCTCCTTCCACCTTGCTCTACAACGTTCTGTTGAAAGGTTATTCTCGGAATTCCCGTTCCAGGGAGTCATTTCTGCTATATACGAGGATGAAGAAGAGTGATAGTGCGTCCCCAGATGAGTACACTCTCTCTTCCCTCCTGACCTTGTGTTCGCGTGAATGTAAGTTGAGAGAAGGTCAAATTGTTCATGGGTCGGCGATTAGATACGGGGTCGCAGTTGACATGTTCGTGGGTTCGGGTTTGATTGACTTTTATGGTAAATGTACTGAGATGATAAGTGCAGATAAAGTGTTCGACGAAATGCCAGATAGAAACGTTGTGTGTTGGACAGCACTGGTTGCTGGGTATGCAAATGCTGGGGACATGGGCAATGCTAGGAATGTGTTTGGCCGAATGCCAGTGAGGAATTCGGTCTCCTGGACTGCTATGATCATTGGGTTGGTCAAAACCGGAGACATTGTTGGTGCGAGAAAGTGGTTTGATGAAATGCCTCGAAAGAATGTGGTTGATTATACTGTTTTAATTGATGGATATGCCAAGTCCGGAGATATGGCTTCTGCAATGGCATTGTTCGAATCTTGTCCAGAGAAAGATATTGTGGCATGGTCAGCATTGATATCGGGATTTGCTCAAAATGGTATGCCAAAGCAGGCTTTGGAAATGTTTAAAGAAATGGAGTCTGGGGGTGTTAAACCTGATGAATTCATCGTGGTGAGCTTGATGTCAGCTTGTGCACAGATAGGTAGCTTGGATTTGGCCAAATCGGTTGATTACTACCTGAGCGAAACCTCGATTGATGCTTGTCAAGCTCATGTCATGGCTGCCCTTATTGGCATGAATGCAAGGTGCGGGAACATGGCTAGAGCAGAAGTATTGTTCAACAGAATGCCTCAGCATGATTTGATTACGTATTGTTCTATGATAAAAGGATATTCAATTGATGGGCGTGGTGATCAAGCAATTGAACTATTCTATAGGATGCTAGATGAGGGGTTGGTTCCAGATGAGGTTGCCTTTACAGTGATTTTGTCAGCTTGTAGTCGAGCTGGCCTTGTGGAAGAGGGTTGGAATTTTTTCACTACTCTCACGGATAAGTACTCCTTAGTCCCAACTCCTGACCACTACGCATGCATGGTTGATCTTCTGAGTAAGGCAGGACGGCTTGAAGCTGCTTACCAGCTTCTAGTATCGTGCCCTTTAGAGCCTTATGCATGTGCTTGGGGTGCACTTCTTGGAGCTTGTAAGCTTTATGTTAATCTTGAGTTGGGTGAGAAAGTTGCCACTAGACTATTTGAGCTTGAACCACAAAATGCCGCGAATTATGTGCTGCTGTCTGACATTTATGCTGCATCAGATCGTTGGTTGGATGTTTCTCTTCTTAGAGAAAAGATGAAGGAGAGAGGGCTTAGAAAAATACTGGGTTGCAGTTGGGTATAGAGCTTAAACTGTGGATTCTTGGTGTTGGTTAATGACAGCATCTTCTGCTCCAGATTTGTGGTTCTGTCCATATGGAGGTAATCCGAAGGAGGGACAACAATTTTTCACGGGGAACCACCTCCTTCTGAAACATTGCTGTTGATTGGGCTTTTCGTTGCTTGTGTAATTTCACGTACATGCGACTTCAAACTTAATTGATTGGGTTTTGTACCTAGTTGCTCTTGGAATACTCTACTATGCTGCTGCATGATAACAATTCAAGGTACCTGCTATGGGGAATGGCTTTGTTCTCTCTGTCCTTAAATAAGGGTTCAAAGATCATCTGGCAATGCTTCCTTTGAGCTATCGCCTGCAGTGTGGCCTATTCTAACTGATCTTGTTTGCTGGAGAACATCATTTCCGTTCTCAAGTCAGGAATGCAGTTGCTTTCACTGTTAATCATAGCACAGGTAAGAGGCACAGTCCCCATAATGTTACCACTAACTTCTTTCGATTGGTTCTCTTCACATAAAGATGGGGAGGGCATATCTTAAGACTACTAGATCTATCAGGGACTACGCCCTCTATTGAAGATGAGGACTTTCCTAGATGATAGTTGTTGCAAAAGGTAAAGGAGATTCTGGTTCATCACAATGGACAAGCATCGTGTGGCTATCCAAGTAGGAGATTGCAGCAGCTGCATTAAGAGTTGCACCAACAGGGAGTGATTCCTCATCAATCAAGAATTTAAGGCGAGTTAAGTGGCTGATCTGATTTCAGAGTCTCGTTCTTTATTCCAGTGAAAAAAATTGTAGCAGGCATCTTCCCCGAGATGGAACTGAAATCCTCTGCACCCATGGTGACTAGAAAAGTGTGCACATTGGATTCCCCAAGTAAGAGTTCTCCAACCATCCTGAAATGCTTATAAACTGCTTCTTCGTTAATCATGGGGGGATGTGGGAGATGTCTGTGCTCCATGAAGTCCATTGTGACATTGCACCTATGCACTGCTGCCTGCATTTCGATTATCTGGAAAGAGAATGAGCAGACGCTGTTTTGTTACTTGACTTCCCTGATTTGAAAAACACAATTACAAACACAGCAGTATTGAATAAGTTATAAGGGACTCTTTACCTCTTTAATTCCCCCTTGAAGGATGTGCAGACCTTTTGTGCTTAGACTTCTAAAAGTAACTTCATATCACGCTGAATCGGGAATTACATTTCCTGCTTTGCCTCCTTCCATCAATCCCACTGTCACCACCTATTCATTTTTGGAAAAAAGTGAAGTGAAATCCATTGTTTAAACTGCTACTGCTACTGCTACTGTGATGGTCTGGTCTGTGATATCTAATGAACCTGCAAACTATTATGAGAAATAGGATTTTACTGCAGCCTCAAGTGGATCAGTCTCTCGTGATACGATCTATTGGAGAGCAACTATTGCAGTAGATGCCGCCAGAATCAGGTCTCTACCCATATGATGGGATGGGGCATGGCTTCAACTCCATGGATTGTTGCAGAGAAGAGCCCAGCTCCCGCAAGAAATGGACCAGCTCTTGAAGCAATCGCATCCAGTAGGCACTGAGGGCAGAACATGTATGCTTATGATGGCATTCAGACCAACGTGACAACTGTCTTGTAACATATGGTAAGCACCAGAATAACCCTCTTCCCCTTGCTGGAATACAAGCTTGACAGTTCCCTTCAATATGTGAACAGCATAAATAAATCAGTACACAGAAATTCAAAAGGATTAATCACTTCCAGACATCGTGTTACAATTCACCTCAAGTGTGTCAATTTTGGCATGGAGTAACTCGGTGGCACCAAGGAGCATTGCAACATGAGAATCGTGGCCGCAAGCATGCATCTTCCCGTCAATGTTGCTCTTGTGCTCCCACTCTACCTTTTCCTTTGGAACCCAGAAACATGAAGTCAAAAAGAGTTCAGTAGCAATTTCATATAATACCCTTTTGTTTCCGATATGCAGGGTGAAAACCGAGAAGAGAGGAAGAGAAGACCTGAAGAGGGAGGGCATCCATGTTGGCGCTGAGAGCAAAAACTTGCTTGTCACCGTTTCCATTGGAAGCGACCACACCACAGTGAGCAACTCGCCATTTATAATCAATCCCAAGTAAATCAAGCTCTGCTCGAATGATCTCACTAGTTCTGTGCTCTTCAAAACCTAGCTGTGGAAAACCTCATGAATCCTCCGTCTGATCCCTCTCGTCCACTCAAAGAACTCCGGCTCCTTTGCCGATGCCGTGAGTTCCTTAGTCAGTGACTCCAACCCTGGATGTTCATTGCCGGCGACGGTAAAACCAAGAGAATGACCCAACATCAGTAAATGATCAGCAAGAAGCAACAACTGGACCGGCCGCATGCGACTCCGCCGTGGGCGTGGGGGAGGCCATTGCCAGGTTCCCCGCCCGGCTACCTCACTCTGGGTTAAAGGGTTCGGTCTGGTTCGTCGAGCTCTATTCCGTTGGTGGGGTTCTATAATGAAGAAAAGAAAACCATCTTCATCTATTGACTCGATTAATACACGTCCAAAGCCATAAGAACTTACTACAAAGCCATCATTAACACCGGTAAAAAAGTTTTAGGATGACAAATTCGTGTTCTGGAATATCTCTACTACGATATCATCTATCAATATATCCAGTTTCTTGTCATTCCGCAGCAGCAGCAACACCACCGGCGTCCAAGTAGGAAATGGCGACAGCAGCATGGAGAGCTGCTCCTACGGGGAGCACATCCTCGTCAATGACGAGTCGTGGTGAATGCAGCGGCTCCACTGGTCGTGGGCCCACTTTGGTCGTCCTAGCACCAATCATGAAGAAGGCGGCGTTCATCTTCTGAGAGTAGAAGCTGAAATCCTCTGCCCCCATGATCGGCGGAAGTAGCGTCACGTTTGATTCCCCCAGCAGTGCTTCTCCAACCAGCTTGGCGTGGCCGTACATTTCTCGGTGGTTGACGGTTGGCGGATACGGCCTCATGGTTTCCATCATGAAGTCCACCGAGCCACTGCACCGGTGGACTGCCGCTTGTCCCTCCACCACCACTCTGATCCGCTGCCTGAGATCATCTAGCCCTTCCGCGGTCGTGCTTCGGAAGGTGCCCCCCAGCTTCACCGTTTCCGGGATCACGTTCTCCGCTCGGCCGCCCTCCACGAATCCTACTGATATCACCTGAACCAACGACATACCAACCACCATTCAGAATTCTTTTTCGTTTCCCCTTTGGGTTGGAAAAGTAAGAGATTGGGAAGGAGGAATTGATGGGAGTAAGTAGTACCCCAGCTTGAAGAGGGTCAGTTTCGCGGGAGATGATTTGCTGGAGGGCGAGGATGATGAAGGAAGCAGCGACAACTGGGTCCCTTGTGTCCTGTGGCCGGGCGGCGTGCCCGCCGATCCCTTTGACGGAGGCCAAGAACCTTCCTGAGCCGGCGAGGAATGTTCCTGGTCTGGAACCGATTGAGCCGACCGGCATCTCGGGTGCCACGTGGAGGCCAAACATTGCCTGGATGTTGTCCAGAGCACCGGTTTGGAGCATGTGGTAAGCGCCAGCTCGACTTTCTTCTCCTGGTTGGAAGACCAATTTCACAGTGCCCTTCTCCGGATGACGAGTTAAGAGAGTTGATTACCACGAAAGAAATAAATTAAGATCACGGTAGACTGATTGTAGTTTATGAAGGTGGTTTACCTTTATATCGGCATTTTAAGTTTAAGCAGCTTGGCAGCGCCGAGTAGCATTGCGACATGGGCGTCGTGGCCACAAGCATGCATCCTGCCCTTGTTCTTGCTCTTGTGTTCCCACTCTACCATTTCCTGTACATAAACAAACATTTCGATTAACACGCTTAATTTTGCTCATGGAGACTGTCAGAGGCAGGTTTGTGTGGTTAAAATAGATACATTATTTTTATAAGGGTGATATAATTTTTTTATTGTTAGGTACTACTAAATGGATTCGAACCTGGAACTTCCAGGTTTAAGGCTAGTGGTATTACCACCTGACTAATTCCTTGGACGCCTTGTTCGTCGAATTGATAAATTGTTGATATGTAAATATCTTAGCTCTAGGATTGTTATTGTTGGGCAATGTCTATTTTTTATCCGAACTTTTTTCAAATTCTCTTATATTATCCAAACCTATCAAAATACTAAGAATTAGCCAAATGTTAACTTTCAGTTAGCAATTTTGTTAGTAATTAATGTTGACTTGACAAAATGATACTGACTTGGAAGAGACTCATGAAGGTAAACATTCAAAATTTTTAATATTTTAACTAAGAAAAGAGTTACAAAATTATTAACGACAACGTAAAAATGAATAATATTTTGATGCATCACGAAAGATTTGGATAATTAATAGAATTTTAATAGGTTTGGATAATATAAAAGAATCTAAAAAAGATTTGGATAAAAAAAATAGACATTGCCTTAATTTTTATTGTAAATTTCATCAACTATTACATTATTCAAATTTACACTATTCAACTAAAAGCCAACCGACCCCGTATATATCAACGATGGAGTTTTCATTTTTGAATCCTTATAAATTTACAATATTTATGAGTTTTCCGGTTATTCAACTAGAGGTCACTTGTCAAGTGTATTTCAATCACATCTATGATCTATTTAGGCAATACTTTACGAATCCTTATCGATTGACAATTTTGTGAGTTTCCCAACTATTTCAAATAAAATTTTATATTTTCATACACTTCTATTTTCAAATATGAGGCCTATTTTGCCATCAAGTTCAATTTACTTTCATAGACTCATAGCTTAAGAATATAGTATTTTAGGAAATGACTCACTAGTTTCAACATGGCCTTATATGTGGCTATACACACACTTTCCTTAACCGATCATAGGTTATATTGTTACATTTACTAATTCCCATAATATAAAATGCATTGTGTGAGCTTTTATTTTTTTGTTCAACATATTAATTCATATTTACAAAAATACAAATTTTATTGAACACCGCATGTGAGGACTTTCGATCTTGTTATTTTGAGATTTGTATAATTTAGAGGTTTCGAAAAGTTCGAATCAAATTAATCATAATAATAAAGTTTCGGCAAAATTGTGATATTAACCTATTTTATATGGTAATTGTGATTACTCGGACATTTCATTAATTAACGGCTTTTGTTCGCCCTAAGCCCCTAATCACAATCACTACGGATCGGATTTTTATATTCTATTTCGTATAAACTAATGAAAATTTCAATTTAACCATGATAAAAAAGCCAAAAAGTGAATTTGAAAAAAAAAGCCAAAAAGTAAACGAAATCACAAGACATCCCACTTTTAACGGAGACACCGGCGGCCAAAGAAGAACGAACCTGAATGGGCAGAGCATCCATGTCTGCTCGCAGGCCGAACCACGGCTGCGACCCTGATCCGATCGAACCAACAACGCCGGTCTCCGCCACCGGCCAGGTGTACTGAATGCCGAGTGAGTCGAGCTCTGATCTCACCAGTTGACTCGTGTTGAATTCTTGGAAAGCCAGCTCCGGGTTCTCGTGGATTCGCCTCCGGACGCTTCTCAGCCACCCCAAGAAATCCGGCTCCCTCGCTATCCGCAGCAGCTCCTCAGTCAGCGAACTCAGCCGCTCAGGTTGTCTTGAACGATCCTCCTCCGCCGCCGCCTCCGCGTGGCAGGTGCAGAGTATCAACGTTAGAGTTACTAACCATCCCATTGAGTTGAAAGACTAAGAGGGAGTCAATTCGAGGAAAGTTTAAGCCTTTAAGAGCTTCCGTCCGTAAAGGAACGAAAGGTATCGCTTTCGTTTTTTCGTTTCGTTGGAGAAGAGAACAAAGATGTCGTTTCGATGGCGGAAGTTCTGATGGGTAAGCAATTGGCGTTACCCCACCGTCGCTTTCACTTGTGGTGAGTGTGAGCACTGAGCACAGAGGCTGACGAGCTCCACCAACATTGACCATATGGGCTTTACCTATGAGGCTTAACGTTGACACGGTGAGCTATTTGTAGTGTCTATGGGCTTGGGGAATGCAAACATTGGGCTGGGCCGATTTTCCAAACTAAGGATGTAATGGCCTGATTCATCGTCTCGTTCTTTAAATATGGGATTGCTATTCGTCGCCCTAAAAATCCTTATTTGTCGCCCTAATTAGATTAAATTTACTCTAATATCCTTAATTTTCTTACATTCACAATTACCGGGGATGGATTGCTTCAATTAGAAAAGGAAAGAAAATAGAAAAGCCCCGACCCAGATTGATTAGGGAGTATCGACGGCCACCATACGAGAAATACTATTCGTCTTCACGGTCGCCGGCGGCCTACCTGTAACCTCTTCTCCAACTTCCTCCCTATTCGTCTTCACGGTCGCCGGCGGCCACATCCGAGTTCACCGGCCGCGTTATTAATCTCGCACTACTACTTCTAATTTCTCGAAGCTGCCGGTCCCTCATATAACAAAGAAAGGTTGATATTTTTATTTCTTCCCTTTTGTTCTATGTCAGGGAGCGGGAAACGGAACCCAAAACTTTGAGGTGATTTCTAGCAAGGCACTGAAAAGATAAATTGAAAGCTCCGGTCATAGTGGAATGGCGACCGAGGTGGAATTTATTGTTTGGTTTAGAGATATTATGTAGAAATTTTGTTGAGGGTAAATATGTCAATTTAGCATGTTTTAGGGCGATAAAGTTTGAATTCTAGGGCGACGAATAGCGATTCAGTTAAATATTTGTTTTGGGGCTAAATTACACGTTTGGTCACTCAAATTATATTAATCTTTCTTGTTTGCCACCCGAATTATTTTTCTTTCTTATACGCCACTAACTTTACGAATCGTTTCACCGTTAGTCAGTGGCCGTTACACTCCGTTACATTTGTCCTACGTGGCAGTCAAACTTTAAAATTTGACTGTTAACTAGATGACGTGGAAATTTAAAAAAAAAATAAAAAGATTTATTCTTCCACCTCAGAATTCCATTTACTTTATGATTTATCATATTAATTATTAATAATAATTAATTTGATTAGAAAATTTAATTACCAACGGGAGGAAGAAATTGCAGAGGCGGCCGTTGATTTACCCTACTCTAATTCCTCTTCATCATATTCGCGAACTTCGCAGCGACGACGACACGAATTCATTCCTCGAGGGTGAACCGAGCTCTTGAGGGCGGCGAGCAGAAGATATGTGGGTCGATTGAAGGAGACAAATGGCGAGCCACCGGTGGGTTGGGCTTTGTGGATAACCGGGAGGTGGAGGCAGAACCCGAGGCAGGCGGCCGGAAGGTGGAGAAGTGGTATCTAGGGATTTTGAGCTCGGCGACGACGGGGAGCGCAGCGGTGCTGAAGAGTCGGCGGATAAAGCTACTGAGCGAGGCAGATTTGATAATAATAAAGAATTCCTAAATTTTCACATTTCATCTCTTACTACCTCTTTCTATTCTCTCCCAACGTACTCTGCTAGCCAGCTGGTACTTTCAAGGCCACAATCTCCTTATCCTGGGCCTTAATATGAGCATCCTTCTCATCAATCTCCTTGTACGCGACATTCAGCTTCTCGTCAATCCTTGTTGTAACAAGTCTGTAGGAGGCGCTGGGTCTACAAGTGCTGGAAACCGGTGGTGCTGGGCACGGCGGCCGGGAAGACGGGCTGGAACAGCGTGAAGGTCGCCTTGGTCTTGTCCGCGCCGGCGGCCTTGGCGGTGGAAAAATAATTAAGATGATAATTCTTTATTAAATAATTAATAAGATAATAAGTGGAATGATGAGTTGGAAAAATAAATTAATTTTTTTAATTTCCACGTCACCTAGTTAACGGTCAAACTTTATAGTTGACCGCCACGTAGGACAAATTTAACGGAGTGTAACGGCCGGTGATTAACTGTGAAATGATTCGTAAAGTTAGTGGCAAATAAGAAAGAAAAGTAATTCGGGTGGCAAACTTGAAAGATTTGTATAATTTGAGTGACCAAAAGTGTAATTTAGCCTTTGTTTTGGTAAATGAGATGAAAAGAAGAGCCGGGGATTTCCGGGTCCGTCGGCCTATCACTTGGTACAACAGTAAGGTCAGGTCGTTCCCCGGCTCCTAGTTCTCGTATTGTTCAGGTGGATGTTACCATTTCGAAATGGTTAAGGTCTACCAAGCTTCCTCCAAAGTTACTCTTCTTCCTCTAGCAATGCTTACAACGGGTCCTTCCGACTCGTGAAGCCTTGACGTTGCGGGGTTTGGATATCATTCTGTTGAGTTATGCATATATTGATATGGGCTTTAGCCCACTGTACATTGTAGACTAGTAGTCGTAGGCCTCGTATAGAGTAACCCTAAGCTGGCCGAGTCTCTTCTATCTCGGCTAGGGTTAGGATACACATATATATTGTACCTCGAACCTACATTGAAGCTAAGTTAATACGAGAGTTGATAGCTTCGGCCGTGGACTAGTCTTGATCACACCGATCAAGGAAACCACGTAAATACTTGTGTGATTTCGTTTCTAGCTTGATTAATCTTCGCTACGATAAGTTAACATGGTATCAGAGCTCACCAGTTCGGATTTTGATCGGATTTCTACTCGTCTCAACTCCACGAATTATTCGTTATGGGAGTTTCAATTCCGCGTCTTCATCGAAGGCAAAGGGCTGTTCGGATTGCTTGATGGCACTTCGGCCAGACCCACGATTCCGCCCTCAACCGAAGCTAACGTGCTGAAGTGGCTTCAGAACGATGCTCGGGTCCGCTCCATGATCATGAATTCAGTCGATCCTTCAATTATCCTGGGACTGCGTCTTCTTCCAACCGCTGCGGCCATGTGGAAATCGCTCGCAGAGACCTATTCCACTACCAGCGCCAATCGGCAGTTCGAACTCGAGGTAGAGCTGGCCAACCTCCATCAGGGCGAGCTCGATGTGGCGTCGTATTTCAATGCGGCGCGTCTCCTTTGGACTGAGCAAGACCTGCTCACGGCGTCCCTTCTTACGCAACCGATTCCCGCCGAACTCCAGGCTGAGAAGACAAAGATCCGCTTGCTGCAATTTTTGATGAAACTCCGCCCCGAATTCGAGTCGCTGCGGGCAACCCTCTTGAATCGTGATTCTCTTCGGCAGGAAGGAATCCTGGTGGACCTGATCCAAGAAGAAACCCGGCTGCGCACGCAGGCAGCTCTCGATGCTCGACCAGGAAGGGCGGACGTCGCGGCATTCAGTGTCCAACGCTCCGCGCACCAAACTGCTGCTGCTCGTCCCAACTCTGCTGTCTCTCGCTCCCCAGCGCAGGCCCAGCAGTATGCTCCAGCTGCTGACGACGAGCTGCATGACGCGGCGTATGCGGCGTACCGATCTGGACCTCGACGTCCTCTCTCGGAGGTGGAATGCCACCATTGTCATGAGAAGGGGCATACCAAAAAGCTGTGTCGTAAGCGTAACTTTTGCGTTTATTGCAAAAAACGTGGTCATATAATTTCCGATTGTGAGTTGCTGCAGGAACGGATGGGTGATGTTGATAATCCGGGTTCTAGCGGTGGTCGTACTGGGCGCTATGATAATTCTCGTGGGCGGTCTCGCCCAGCTTATGCCACTGCGCCAGCCCCCTCTACCGATGGAGTGCTTGTCACTCCTGCTGCTCTCGAAACTATGGTGAACAAGGCCATCTCCTCTGCTTTTGCCAGTCTTCAGGTCATGGGTAAATTTCGAAAATGGATTATTGACTCTGCTTGCTTTAATCACATGACCGGTGATCGTCGTATTGTTAAAAAGGTACAACCAGTTGATGGCCTTTCGTTACAAGTAGCTAATGGTAATAAACTTCAGATTTCTGGTGTTGGATCAGTTAATGATGATCATGTTCGGCTGCCTAATACTTTTCATGTTCCTAATTTGGTGCCTAATTTGATTTCGGTGGGCCAACTTGCTGAACAAGGTTGCCGGGTTACTTTTGCACCTTCTGGTTGTGTTGTACAGGACATGAAGACGGGGAGGGAGCTCGGGAAGGGTAGCAAACATGGTCGGATCTTCTTGATGGATGAGCTCGTCACGTCATCTCCTTGTTCTTTGTCGGCTTCTAATTCGGTGTCTAGGGTACCGTCATTTCCTGTCTTTTCGAGTCTTAGTGATCAAAAATTTCAGTTGTGGCATGCTCGATTGGGACATCCCAATTCTGGTAGACTGTAACCATGTTTCGTCAACAGCTATTTGGCTCAACTACTAAAATTGATCGGTTGTCGGATTTTACTTGTCAAAATTGTGTTCAAGCTAAAACCACCCGTATATCCTTCCCTTCGAGCACTACAGTTATTACCGAGCCTTTCCATCTTATACATACTAATCTTTGGGGACCTAGTCCGGTGACTTCTAGACATGGTTATAAGTACTTTGCATTGTTTATCGATCATCCCACTCGATTTACATGGGTGTATTTTCTTCGTCTCAAATCTGATCTTTTTCCCATTGCTACTGAATTTTTGCAAATGATTAAGACTCAATTTGATAGAAATGTTCGTGTAGTCCGTTCTGATCCTGGCGGTGAGTTTAGTTCCACACCTTTGCTCAATCTTTATGCATCCCTAGGAATTCTTACTCATAAGTCTTGTCCAGGTGTCTCTCAGCAAAACGGTCTGGTAGAACGCAAAAATAGACATGTTCTTGAGGTTACTCGTGCCCTTCTTCTCTCGTCCCATGTACCCTCTTTTTTCTGGCCTGAAACTGTTGCTACAACTGTTAGGTTGATTAATTATCAGATTACTCCGGTTCTTGGTCAGTCGAGTCCCTATTTTAACCTGTTTGCTAAAC